ACACACACACACACAGACACTTATGTCCAGGTAGGGTCTTGCACTGGGGGTGGGGCCGATGGCGTTTTTTTTTTCGGTTTTGGTTTCTTCGGGGAAAGGGAGAAGGGGAGAAGGGCCGCGGCGAAAGGGAGAGAGGGGAACTCACCGTCATGCTCGAGGCGCATATCGACGCAAAACACAAAGAAAAAAAACTGCCGCCAGATGCATGCACACACTCGGTGAAGATGCAGGTGTACCGCCCGAGACGGGTGGCACGCAGCAGCGAAAACGAAAAAAAAAACGAGAGATGAAGTAAACTCAATGAAAGCAATGAGACAAACCGGACACTTGGCAACAAAGCAGCAGCAAAAAGGCGTGAGTGTGAGACGGCAAGAGTGACCCCTTGAGAAAACAAGAGGGAGTGTTCATTCCCTGTGAGGGGCGGATCCCACTCCTATTTCCCCCTTCGTCTTGTTCCCTGTTCTACTTGTTCCCACCCCAACGTCCCATCGCACCCCCAGCCGCACACGCGACGTTGCAAAACAACTCTCAGCAAATATATATATATATTTGCTTTTATTTCTTCCGTTTTCCCATATTCTCTTTTTTTTTTGTTCTCCTTTCATTTATTCTCTTCTTTGTTTTATCTGTCTTGAATTCATTCATCTTATTCACTTCTTCGTTGTGGCGTCCCTTGTGGACTTTTGACCCCGTCAGGAAAGAGACGCTGCAACTAGCCGACAGACGCACAGCACAGCGAGACAGAGGAGGAGACAGAAGGTGGCGAAGAGGAGGGGGGGGGACGGTGGTGGGTGCGCAAAAACAAAAAAAAAAGCAAAAGATCAAAAGAGACGAGTACTCTCGCCCTCCCGTCTTCCGTGGATGTGTATGTAATGTTGCTTCCTTGTGCACAGCGTGTGGCGGCGCACAGGCGTCAACACCACCACCACCACCACTGGCAGTAGAACAACAACACAATAACAACAATAAACGCAGAAAAAAAAAAGATCATGATTCCTTGTGAAGGCCAAACGAAAAAAAGAAAATCAGGTGTTTGCCTCATTCTTCTGCACTTCTCATTACAAGGTGAGAGACTCTTGGAGCAATATTTCGTGCAGCCCCTGCCCCTCGGGGATTACGCGCCCGCAGACGCATACACAACATATAAAGCGGCACACACACACACACACGCACACGCCAATCACTCTCCTGATTACACTCGTCTGCTGGCATTTCATCCGCGATTCACGCATATGTCCTTCGTATTGGACATCTGTGCGGGCATTTTGCATGCATAAAGCAAGAGAACACACCTCCAAGCTCTCACACACACACACACACAGATATATATATATATATATATATATAT